TTATTTTATTTTAATTGGCAAACAATGCATACATTTAATCTCATAACATGTGTTTTCATGTATGTATACCTTGTATATTGATCAAATTAAGAAAATCATAATATATGTGAAACTTATCAAATTACATACTTTAAATATGTGGAGTTTATTGTATGTCAATTACACCTAATGAGGGTGATAAAAAATAAAGAAAATTATACGATTTGCATAACAGGAAACAAACATGGGTGAGTTTTTTGTACTGTTACATGTAAAGATTTTATTTTATTTTAATTGACAAACAATGCATATGTTTAATCTCATAACATGTGTTTTCATGTATGTATACCTTGTATATTGATCAAATTAAGAAAACCAGCATATTCCTGATCCAAAATATTTATCACTGTTATCATTTCTTTTTTTTATTTCACAATATTATGGGTGCACCAACATTTTGGTTACATATAATGGCTTTGCTAAGCCTAAGGGAGGGCTACAGGAGTGCCCCTCCCCCACACAGCTCACTGCCGATCCATCCTAATAGTTGAGTGGAAGAAGAAGTCAGAGTGTCTTAGCTGATGTCTGCCTGCTGACATCTTAAGGCCCATCCTTCATCTTCCCTGTTTGCCCCACTCATGGGAATTCTAGGAAGAAATCACAGGTGCTTTCTCTCAAGTCAGCTGTCGGAGGCCCAGACCCCAGCAGACCCCTCCTGGGAGTGACAGTCCCCTCCCTGCCCACCAGGGAACTGTTGTGAAAACCTCAGCCAGTCTCCCCTCCTGCCCTACAAAGCCACTTGGGACTCTCTTGAGAGGCCTGCCCTGCTCTGCAGACACTTCAGTAATGGAGGGAGTAACCCTTCCCGTGTTCATTTAGTGTGTGAGTGTATGTGTGTGTGTGTGGGTGCGTGTGTGCATGCGTGTAACACCATCAGAGTCAATTTCTACATTAAATGTTGGTGGGGTCCCTCTGTCCTTGAATTGTGTCAGATAGAATCGATCTTGTAAGCCTGGTGCTGGGACAGTGTCCACCACGGAGTCTTCCTTCTCTTGCTTAGGACGCTGACTCCCTCTGCCCCTGACGTCCTGCAGACACTTTATCCTGCTTGCTGGATAGAAGGAACTTTCACCTCAGTGTGCTCTGCTGCATTGTGCTGTCCGAGACAAAATCTGTTAAGGATTTTCAGACTTATTCAGAAATGCTGATAATTTATGTACATTTGGGGAGAGGACAAAGTGACTGGAAGCCATTCTCTGCCTTCTGTGCAGGTGAGAATATTTTCTCTCATGACCACAAACATATCTAACTCAGAGACTGCAGAAGGAAGCACAGAATCATGAATTCAGAGAAGTTCCCCAGAAGAAACCATTTATGGAGAGGAAGCCATGACCCTGAGCGGAAACCAGCCCTTACCCTCCACCTGCACCTGCCCTGGGCTGACTCTGCTCCTTGTGCCCAGCCTGCCCCGTGCTGGCCCCATGCCACCCCGCAGGAGGTTTGTGTCTGGGCTCACACTGATGTCCCCTCACTGTGTCTCTCGCACAGTAGTACACGGCTGTGTCCTCGGCTCTCAGACTGTTCATTTGCAGAGACAGCGTGTTCTTGCTGTTGTCTCTGGAGATGGTGAACCGGCCCTTCACGGCGTCTGCGTAGTATGTGCTACCACCACCACTACTGATGTATGAGATCCACTCCAGCCCCTTCCCTGGAGCCTGGCGGACCCAGTTCATCCTGTAGCTGCTGAAGCTGAATCCAGACGCTGCACAGGAGAGTGTCAGGGACCCCCCAGGCTGGATCAAGCCTCCCCCAGACTCCACCAGCTGCACCTCACATTGGACACCTGCAAACACAGACATATCCTGGTCAGAAACTGCCACACACACCCCTGTTTCTCTCACTCACATCTACTCACACACCCAATATATCTAGTTCTCCATGAATTACCTTGTAACAGAGCAACAAAGAAAACCCAGCTCAGCCCAGACTCCATGGTGAGTCTCTGTGTTGAGTCCTGATCACCGAATGGGGACACTTGGGAACGCCGGGGCTGGGGCTCCTCTCCCAGAGCTGCAGGGTGAGGGCTGGGCTGGTTTTCATGGGCAGAGGGAGGGCCCTATTTGCATGTCCCCTGCTATATAGCAAGTGCTGGGGTGGGACACCTCAGGGAGGGCAAGACCAGAGACAAACTGCATAACTGTACTGTGATAAATAGTTAATTCCTGTTCACCTATCTATTTACAGACACATATAAACCCTGTGCTGTATCTGTGAAGTTTGCGTGTATTTTTCAGATGTAAATGTAACCCTAGACACATCTAGAAGTCGTGTGATATGTCCAGAAACACAACTCTGTAAATAATTCATGTCAGTGTCTGGGCCATGATGCTATCATTGGAATCCACTGCAGGCTAAAGCTGGACATGTCTAGGGTGGTTTCTACGACCCTGATTCTTTAATAAGAACAAAAACCAAATTTCTTGCCTGTTTTTTTTTTCTTAA